GTCTATCCGTCCGTCCATCCATCCATCCATCATCTACCTATCCGTCCATCCATCCGTCCATCTATCTATCCATCTGTCTATCTATCCGTCCATCCATCCGTCCATCCATCCGTCCATCTGTCTATCCGTCCGTCTCATCTTTGTTCTTTCCTCCCCCTCAGACACAAAAGTGATGTTCAGCACTTTAAAGTGTTGCGGGACAACAAGGGCTACTACTTCCTGTGGTCAGAGAAATTCACCTCCCTGAACAAGCTGGTGGAGTTTTACCAGACCAAGTCCATCTCGAAGACCAGAGACATTTTTCTCCACGATGGCACCTCACCAAATAGGAACGTGCCAACTGCCCAGCCGGTACCGATGATTCATGTTCTTGTTTAAACCTAGTGAATCATTCACAGCAAGCTGCATCAACAGACATTATGTAGGATGTGGTTTTGAAATGAAGCAGGTTTTATGTATAAGGGATGTCAGATATGAACTTTTTGACTAAATCCGAAATGCCAATATTGTCCAACCGCTTCATTTCTGGTTCGGATATTAACCGATAAGGAAGTCAAGTTCCAGTAAAACACATATTTTAAATTTAAAATTAAATTGAAATTTAAGGTAAATTTGTTATTTACCTTAAAATTAAATTTTAAATTTAATATAAATTTTAATATAAATTTAATATAAATTTAATTTAATTAAAAATTAAATTTAAATTTAAGGTAAATTTGTTATTTACCTGTAAATAACAAAAAGTCTGTCTTTCTCCCTTTTGTTTTCATGCAAAAAAAAGTACCTCATATATCACTTCATATTTAATGAAATATATTTTACAAAACATTTTCTGAACATGAAGTGTTGTGCATTGTTTTATTTTCCAAATTCCTCAAGTGGGCCGGATTGAAACATCAACAAGGCCGGTTTCGGCCCCCGGTCCATATGTTTGACACCCATGATATATAGACATATATATATACATATATTATTTATATTTCAGATTTTAGACTGACAGTGATTTATAAGGTAGAGACAACTATCAATTAATTTTTTTTTTTTTGGACAATCTAGTGTATTAGAGTTACTTCGGTTGCGTCCTACTTATTAAGGGCCGCGTGCGTCGCAGTACAAGTGAAAAACCACTGTGTTCCGTCGTTGCAGGTGAAAAGAGGAAGTTTACCTGAGCAGCCGTCGTCTGCAGTGATCTCCGCAACACCGCGCAGAGCGTCAGATCAAATGCAGAGTCAGCTGGTACTGTTTTTTTTTTTCTTCTTTTACAGTTCATAGAAATATCTGATCCGAAGTTGTATACGCACAAAATAATCAAATCATTTACGCTCTGTAGGCGAATATTTTCTTTCAATATCAGTCAGGTTTAGTTCTCAGTTCTTGTTTTTTTTTTTTCTATTTCTATTACAGGCAAAGAGAGTAGGTTTAGAAGAGCGAGCCCAGACATTGAGTTACACAGGAAGGAGCAGCCCAGTCAGCTCTGCTGTGAATCCTCCTCGTCGTACTGCTGATACCATGCCTCTTCCTCAGGTCAGTCAAATACTATACTATCCTATATGTTTAAAATACTATTTATGATTTAGGCCAAGATTGTCAATCCCGATGTCAAATTGGCCGGACCGGTCCAATCGTAACATTCATCACCTATAAGTGTATAGTATAGTAAAACATATAAGAAAATATTCATATTTAATGAAATATAATTTGACAAGAAACATGAATATCAATTGTAAAGCGGCCCAGTTTGAACACCCTAGCGGGCCCGGTTTTGGGCCCCGGACCATATGTTTGACATCCCTAAAATTATTGCATAAACCAAATAGCTCGATGCAGCGTTTAAGCCATGCTCATAACTGCTCATAACTGTATATAAACATGACATTATATGACATAATGCAGGCCATAATCCTTTCAAAAACATGCGATGGTTTATTCATTTGACTTCATGAAGTGTTGAACTTCCGAGCTACAATTATCTCAGATGACGGCATCTTTTGGCAAAGTGAGCATCGCCCTGAGTTGAGATACTTATGGACAGTGTTTCCCAACCATTTTTGGATTGAAATTCATTTAGACTTGGTATATAAAAGGCTCATAACATGCTTTTTAATTTATAATAAGACTTATATAACTTTTTAAGTGTTTTTGATTGAGTCAGACTCGACTCAATGATTCCTTATTCCCAAAGAGGAAGTTGTTAAAAAAAATTCCTCTCCAGACAGGCGGCACTCTCAGAGGAAGTTGTTAAAAAACAATTCCTCTCCAGACAGGCGGCACTCTCAGTCATTATCTTAACAAATATAAAATCCATTGACTTTTTTTTTTTTTTTTTTAATTCTCTTCATGTTTAGAAATCATCCATTATGCAAGTGAAGGCTCTGTACAACTTCATGGCTGAAGAGGACGACGAACTCAGCTTCTGTGCGGGAGACGTCATCGACGTTTTGGATTGTTCCGATGCATCCTGGTGGAAAGGCCAGCTGCAAGGCAGAAGCGGGCTGTTTCCTGCCAACTACACGACAAGACAGCTGTGACGCAATACCCGCGGGCCAATCAAACGATACTATCAACCCAACCCAAACAAAGACTAGCGCGGGTGCCACTGCGACGTTTTACAACAATACTGTACAACATCCAACAGCCGAATGACTCCAACGCAACTTCTGCACTCTCTGACACTTCAGCGACATGCCGCAGCCTGCGTTACACTGTATTTCAGATTTACATTTAACTCTTTTTAACATGTTTGGTCAGGTTTTATTCAATTGTAGTTGTTAATAAAAATCCAGTAAAACCTGCTGCCTGTGAGAAATGTTTTTGTCATCTTTGTAACAACATGTCGGTCAGGCCGGTGAGGTATTTGACTGCGAGTTCTGTCATTTATAATAATGGTATAAATATATATATATATATATATGTACACATCTATACACACACACATATACATATACACACACAAACACACATATATATAAATATATATTTACACATATATATATATTCATATATAGTTGATGCTAAACCTAATGACTGCTGCCCTAACTCACTAACCGTCCCTGTCATCCTGCTGCCTCCCATTCTTCGTTAATCTGGAAGGTTGACCCTTTAACTCTGGCCAAATATTATATAAAATATATTTGATATTTCCTATATGCTGCATGTATGTTTGTAATCAATTGTATTCCTCTGTGCAGTTCCTATTTACTTACTTAATGACAATATATATTTTTTATATACATTTATACATTTATATTTCTTTCCCCCAATAGGATTCAGTTCTTTTGTTTTCTTTGCATTTTTCTGTTTCATTTGAAGCATTCCCAAGTTTTGATTGCTTGATGCTGCCTCTGGAACCAGAGTTAACAGAAAGTGCTTTTTTAAATATATTCATTACAATAGACCATTGTTTCCCAAAAACTGGGTTGCGGCCCTCAGGTGGGTCGCAAGAGTTTTTTTTTTTTGGGTCATCTCACATCACATTTCCCAGGAGTTTACGAATAATGTCTGTTCACTTGGGTCGCAAAGGTTTGTGACTTTTTAAAATATGGGTCCCCAGAAAAACAAGTTTGGGAAACACTGCAATACTAGCCGTTACTGCGGTCCAGTAGCACTTCGCGGATCATTCAATTTTCAAAATAAAACTTTTTAAAAATTTAGACTTTATTATGTTAGTATAGTCTGAATGAAATAAGGTTTTCAAATATTTCCAGATTATCTTTGAATGAGGAAAATAAATGGATATGCCTGGATTTTCTTTAAATAAAATGAAAATGAGGTATGTTTTTTTTATTGTGTCCCACTGTGGCCTGGTAATAAACGACCTGGGGGAACCCCGCTTTATCGTACTTAGCAAAGAACAAAATTAACTGGAATGTGCAACCGAGCCCCAATAAAAGGTGATGCTTAGACACATCTATTTTTTCCCCTGACTTTTGTAAAACACTAGCATTCACAGTTTTGGCTGAATTACATTAAAGGCTCTGGTGGTTTTCATCCATCTTTGCATTTTAATGTTTAGCCCCTCTGACTATTGTAACTATTTACAAATATGTTAGTTTTAGCAAAAGTAATAATTTTATTAAATGAAAAAAATATCAAATATGATGAAAAAATTATCACGATTAGAAACAAAAAACTTCATAGTTTATTTACTTAGGTAAATAAATCATACAGTAGGGAGATATAAGAAGAAGAAAAAAAAAAACTTTCTCTGATACAGGGACACACTGTCCACAATGTGCCGCCATCTTGTGGTGGGCGATAAATGGATGAATGTAGTTAAGATTTTTATTTTTTTTTTAGAGGGACTTCTCATAAATACTCGATGAAATAGAAGTAAAAAAACAACAACTCGTGTGTTAAATTACAAAAGTATATTTGGGCGAAGTTTGTTGTTCAACAATGAACAGCTTCACTGAGTAAACCCCGCCTCCACCTGAACACTTGAACCGTACCTGGAGCTCCGAGAGCTCACCTTAGAAACGCGCAGTAACCAACTTCGTGTCCGCCATGGCGGAGTCTCAGCTCCTTTGTATGGATGATGAACACGTTAACGAGAAGATACCGGAGTCCAGGCCGGAGTTTTACTACAGCGAGGAACAGCGGGCGGCAATGGAGCAGTTGCTCCGAAACGGGGACGGTGCCTATAAGATGCGCCTAAAGGAGGACAACGTCCGGGACTTTCTCTCCGCCAGAGAGGTGAAATTCATCCGCAAAACCTTTCAGGAGTACGACACAGACAGCGACTCTGAGACCGGGGAACATGAAAAGTCCAAGGAATCCTCCAGCGCCGACTCCGGCGTCCACTCAACCTACTGGCCTCAGATGTCCGACACTGAGGTCCCGTCCCTGGATTTAGGCTGGCCCGGTAGCAACGGCCACTACAAAGGGGTAACCCGAGTGTCCGTGTACACCCACCCACCAAAGGAACCCGGACCCCACATCAAGGGGGTTGTGAGGAGACTTATCCAGGAGTCAACTAAGGTGGGAATACCCACTATTTCTACAACGACAAAACTTAATGTGCCCCAGGTAGAACGGAAGAACAAAAATATTTAGCAGAAAGAGAGAGAGAAAAAAAAAAGAAAAAAAAAAATCTAGATCATTTAAAAGGCAAATTCAATGTAAAACTATATTCCACAAGTTTCAGGTGGTTTCACTGACAAACATCGAATATGATGTCCAAAGTTATGTTCAGTTATGTTGAACTAATAATTAAACTAATATATATTTTTTAACCTAGCTTCCTGACGTTTTCTGGCGTGCATTGCCAACTATACCATTATTTTATTATTATTATTATTATTATTATTATTATTATTATTATTATTATTATTATTATTATTATTATTATTATTATTATTATTATTATTATTATTATTATTATTATTATTATTATTATTATTATTATTATTATTATTATTTGGTGTCTCCTGAAGTTTACAGAATTCTCTTGCATGTTGTTAAATTAAACAAATAACTATTTAAAAATATAACTTATTAACAAAATTCAAGTTGAAAAGTTGATAATAACTGCAATTGAAATCTGAAAAACAATTGCCTCAGCAAGTTCGTTAAACAGCCAACACAATGAATTACTCTGCTGCTGTTTAACTAGCGTACAGTCAAAATCTTATCCGCACTTCTTTTGTTTGTCATGTTGTTTTACATGGCTCACTGCCAAGCAACTACAGCGATGATTTCAAAATAATTGGTTCAAGGTAACCCATGTGACTGTGACTCATCGTGCCGGTAAATGTGACAGTCCTTGAGGCTAATCTTTAGAGAAACAAACAAACAAAAAAAAAAACAGGTTTGATTTAATTCATGGA